ATCTTGTTCATGGTTGTCATGGTGGTACTCGGGATTTTTTAAAGCGAATATTTTATTGATTTTGACACAAAAAGTTGCCGGCACGTTTCGCCTGATAATCGATAGCTTATTCTCCCAATTAGATCATCATGCAAGAACCGGCTTATGAGCAATTCAAACATAAGTATTCATCAAAATCATAAATAACTCATTGCCAACTTGAGCATCTTTGTACCACAAAGAACACATGATCTCAACTAAATAAAAAATAACGAGCAGGAAAAGCAAATATGAGGAAGTTTACCGCGATTCGTTCCAGTATTTTTCCGAAGTCTTGATATAGTTGATTTCATTTGAAGAAAACCACTCTGATCCTTCATTTGGAATCCGGACAAGATGGGTCAAATCATTAAAAATTATCGGGGAAAGTTTCTGCGATTTTTCCGGACACATGAATAAAGGGGACAACCAGGTAAAATATTTTCAAAAACAGAAAAAAAAGAAAACTGGCGAAATAACTCCACAAATTTGTCTTGAACCCTGCAGGTTCTCGCAAATATTTCAGCCGTCATCAATCAATGTCCTGCCTGATTGCGTCAAAAAGGAAGTAACACAAAAACCGTCGTTAAAGCGAAATGCTAATTAAAAAGGGACGTTGGGAATTTTCTCAGATTGTTGAAGTCCAAGACCAGGAGCTACGGGTGAACTGGTGTGAACCCCGGGTTCGAGGTACATTTTTCCCTCCATTTTTGCCGAGAGTCCAGGGGGATTAAAAAAAAAAGGCACATGTGATTTCAGGTGCACAAAAGCAGCTGAGAACGTACCTGAGCCTTTTTCATCTGCTTCAAAGCGAAGGATTTGCTGGAATCCGCGGCGAGCTGCACCAACTCCACACGGCCGAATCCGCCGACACCCAGTGTGGTGAGAATGCGCAAATCCGACAGCTTTAGGCTGGTGAATTCCTGATCAGCGATTCTGATCCGGAATGAATACCAAAGGTCAGCGAACGCGTAAAAATCGAGAAAGCCATCAAAAATTCCGGAAAGGAAACCGGAAATAGACTCACCGGCGCTGCTTGGACGATTCCTCAACATACTGTCGCCGGATATCCGGCAACGACGAGACAAGTTGGTTGAAAGTGTCACGGTCGAGGACGAGACATGTCGAGCCTTCTTTGTCGGCAATAATATTTGCAGTTCGCACATCTTCCCTGTGAAATTTCGGTCTCTGTTAGAAACCTTACGGGTTACATCAGCTACTAATACATGGGTTTCAACTTTTTTTTTTGGAGTAGGGAATAAATAATGGTTCACTAATATTTCACGTTCAATATAAATATTTTTCACTTTAAATAATTGAACCGATTGATGTTTCTCCTCAGTTAGGCTTACTTTAACCAATAGACTGAAAATTCCAAATTTAGCGCACCAGTAAACTAACTTTTAATTACCATTCTGTAAGTTACTCTCATAACACCAGTATAGTTTTCCGGGTGAAAAGCCCTAAGCAGCGACCACCTTATTTTTTTAATACAATTTACCGAAGGGAAGGAATTCATTTTTTGAGCCACGGAATGAATAATTATAACCGCAAGGGATTTTGCTTTCTTACTGAGCAATTTTTCAGAAAAAAACCTCGGAATATTTTCTCAGTCCTGAAATAACACTGAAGTGGGATCAAAAATCTTAGACATACCCTTGAAGTGCTTTTTCACCAAAAAACTCTCCTTGCTTCAACGTTCGGATTATCTTTTCTTTCCCGTCCGGCTGACGCATCGTCACTTGCACCTGAATTTATGGTTCAATTAGAATCAAACACGGATAATAAAAATGATGCCATAAAAATTGCACCCAGTTTCCTGAAAGGGAAATGATTATTTGATCGAGCCTTGCGGCGTGAGAAAATGGAACATGGTAATTCTTGAAAAAGGAAATTTTGCTTTGGGAATTTGCATTGATCAGAAAGCTTTGGGATGTGTCAGTCCCCCCCTCACCAAAAATTACCAAAGTTATATCTTTCTAAAATTAAAGTAATCAATGTTCAGAGTGAACATTAAAAATTTCATTTCCTTGATAAAATTCTAAAAACAATTTTTTAGCGTTTATTTTGCCACCAGGAGGAAAAATTAAAAAAGATGCATACCGTTCCCTGACTAATGATGAAAAACGTATCACCGACAGCACCCTGGCGGATGATGTATTCTCCCTGTACATATTTGCACTGGAAACAAGCGTAAATTAACGTTCGTCATCAATAATTGACATCAGCAGCTATCGGAGGAAGAAACGTACCTCTTCCAAGACGTCGGAAATCTTTATGAGAGCCTCTTCGGAGAGGTTCTTAAAGGACGGA